GCCTTGTTTCTGCAAGAGAACCCCATCTCCCCATGGATAGATCTGTGTGCCCCCTGACTCCCAAGAATCAAATAACACCTGGATTACTCACTCTGTCAGCTTGTACCTATCTATTATTACTGTCATTAGTTTTACACATTGTCCCAGAGCTAACACTTATTTAAGTTGTGGCCTTGAAAACACCCATTGTCTTTTTGGAATCTTCCTTTTCAGCACCCTCCACCCCCACCCACTTCCTTTCTGCACCTCTGACCATAGGGTACAGATGTCTGTAAACAGAGTTCATCTTTCTTCCTGCTTGTCATAGTTTGTGGTAAGCAGCCGCTAAAGCCATATGCCTGAATCATCAGAAAAGATGCTGTTATGAACTTTTAGGGGGAGGTTTAGTGCAGGGAGAGGGTAGGGAGCTTTTTGAGCATTAGGTATGGGGAAGGAGCAGGGAAGGGCCATAGAGAAAGACAGGGATGCTTGCAGTGAAAGAGTATTAGGTGCTGTGAGGTAAAATGGGAGCAGCCCATTGTCTGCCTTGAAGAGCTGTGCATCTCCTGGTTTCTCCTGGTTGAGTTGGATATGCTTTAGAGTTGATGGAGAAAGTGAAAAGGAGTTGCCTTTTTGGAGAACCTAGTGACAGTAGGACCTGGGCCTGGAGCAGGCTGAGTGAGCTTAGGGATGGAGCTTAGGGATGGAGCTTTCTCTGCTGAGCTTCTAAGTCCCCAGAGAAAGCTGTTAGCTCTAGACTTCTCGGGAAGGAAATGATGACTCTTATTGTGGTGATTACTTTTGTTACTTTTGCCTTTGTCCCTTGGAAGGTAGTTTGCTCCACCAAACTTACCACTTTGTGAGAAAAATTACATAAGGCTGGGTGCCTCACTATCTATGCCAAGGCACTGGGCCCAGGCACATCACCTATAAAATGTTAAGTGAGCTATCAAGGAGCATGATTTGAAATGGTTGAAATGACTGTTAGCATCTGCTCTGAAAGGTTATGATATCACGAAAGAACCACATGGAAATTGCAGGGGGTGTGTGCCCGTGGAAGGGAAGAGTAGATGCTAGTTAGGCGACCAGCTCTGGTCTACTGGCTCTGCCTTGCTATGGTGATGGTATGGTTACAGGGGATGGAGTGGTCGTGGGTCGTATGAGTGTGTGGGTCTATTTTTGCATTAGCTTGAAGTCCAACTTCCTTCTTCTCCATCCTGTGTGCTGCCTCCTGAACCAGTGTGCAGCTCTAGCTACACACGTGGCAGTTTCACTAGCCTCATAGCACACCCAAGATCACTCAGGCAGTGTCTAAATATGTCTGGGCTCTCTTAAAAAGGTCGCTGAATGTGCAGTTAGGCTTCATGACCTCAGCAGAAGTGAGAGCTGGTCTTTCCTTTTTCCAGGAAGCGTTGGTCCTATGTAAAATGATAAAACAGCTCTTTTTCTTTCCGTTGGTTCCCACTTCCTAGACATATGTTTCTTCATCACCTCTTCTACCCTTCATCCTTTCATCGTGCTTGTGGTTTCTGCACTCAAAACTGGAGAGAGTCTCTTATGCTAACATGGAGATAAATTCTGTTGCTAATTTTATCTTTCCAGAGGTATTTACATTTTAAGAAGAAACTTTAAGCTAATGGATGAAGCTCTTCTGGAATATTCTGTGTTTACAAACGGGGTTGGAGAGCTGGGGTATGTGAGGACACTCCTGAAATCGCATAGTTTAGAAAACACCTAGTAAGTCTGCCCTGGGAAATCTATGGGGTTGGTCTTGAATAGGCAAATATAGGGACTTAAAAGCAGAGTAGGACATTCTGTGCCTTCCTAACATGTGCATATGTGACATGGTTATATAACAACACAAAGCAACACATGCCTAAATGATGAATGGAAACTGCGAGTAATAAGGGCTGGGCTAATTGAATGAGGTTGCAGCAGAGAAGTAAAGTCTCCATGGGGTATTTAGAATTAGAAATGAAGCTTCAAGCATAGGCATGATTTCAGTGGCTAAAGCAGAGTTGGTGGGAGCCCTCCAGGAGGAGAAAGGCATGGGCAGAGACTTCGAGGTGCTAATATGTGGTTTCTGTGCAGGTAGTGAGGAGATTTGCTTCTCAGGGGTGGAAGATTTGCACTGAGGTGCTTCCTGATATCAGTCAGGCCCCTGTCTGAAGGTGGAGGAGTTTACAATTTGCCTTGAAGACAAAATGTGTAGAGAGCCGGAAGAATCTCTGAGTAGGAGAGTTGCTGTGAATACTGTCCCAGGGAAATGTTTCTTCTGGAAATATGTAGGATAGACTGAAGGGAAAGAATAGAGAAGGGTCGGAAAGGGAACCATTGTAGTATTATAGGCACGAAGTTGCCTACTCACTCAACCAAACCTAATATCACCCTCTAAATATTTCACACCCTGCTAGACCCTAAAAGACATGAGGATGAATAACACCCAATGCCCAGTTGTGCTTATAATCTCTAGAAAGGACATGAGCCAGGCTAGTAGCAGTAGGAATAAGAAGGAAGGCACAGATTGTGAAAAATATTTTAAAGGAAAACATAACAGCGTAGGTGGCTGATAAGAGTGGGGGCCAAAGGAGGGCAATGTGTAAAAACCCCAATGTTAATTGTGAGTAATGGGCCTGGGAGAAGAACTTGGGACATGAGGAGGGAGAATTGGGTTTTGGTGGGAAGGTGTTGAAGAGTTCAGTTTTGGATATAGTGAAATATCTTGGCATAACAGTGGCGATCCTAAGAAAAAGGTAATGACACAAGAATCTCAGTGAGAAGTCAAGATTAGACCATAGATATGAAAGTCAGGGAATGCTTTTTCTTGGAAGCCATAGTTGAATTTGTGTGGAAGGATAAACCAAGTTAGCAGCCAAGGATAGAAGAGTGATGAGGTTATGTGAGGGTAGGGAGTGGGCCAAGAGAAAGGAGCCAGCAAGAGAGTCAAGGACAGAGATGGTCAGAGCTGGGGGATGGAGAGTGGAGATGAGACCCTATTGCAGAAAGCAAGGGAAGAGAGTTTCCAGTAAAAGCTTAAGGAGTGAATTAAGAGGAGGTATATGAATTAAATTCAGGAAATATTGCCTTTTATTGGAAGAAAAGAAGTAAGGATTGATGAAGTGTTAAAAGATGGGCTCTGAATCAGCCATACATTGATGCACATGCTGCCTACTCCTGGGTCTTCTTGGGCAGTTAATCTCTCTAAGCGACAGTGTCCTCATTAGTAAAAGAAGAGGTAATAATGTCTAAGGCATTGAGTTGCTGTGAGTGCTAAAAGGACTAAATGAGATAAGGCTTACAACTTTTAGCTCAGTGCCTGGTACATAGTAAGGGCTCTTGAAAAGTGTTAGCTATTATCATAAACAATAATAAGTTCTATGACTGGGTACATGATTTTTAGATTCTAAAATATGAAACTGCAGGAAGCCATGCAATAGATTTCTTTTCAAACTTAGAACACTCCCTTCTCCAGTAACCAACATGGTTTCAGAGCAGGAGAATGGGCTAAATTATTTCTAGGGATCACTTTTATGCCAAAAATCATAATGGTTTTCTTAATTGTTTTTATAACGTTGCACTTGCTTTGAGTAGTTTCTGCTTTCAAAACATTGACTACCCTTTAGAGTTAGTTTTAATCAGGCTTCTACAGAGATGGGAGTTTTATATTAGATGTTGTGGAGAAAACACAAGAGAAAGAACACGTAAAACATCTTTCTGGGAAGTTTAGAGTCTAGAGAGTGCAAAAGAAAAGGAGCAAGAACAAATGAAAGCAACATGTGAACAAGAGCATAAGTATTAGTGCTCGCAGAAGCTATTAGTGCTGAGAGAATCAGAGCTGAACATTGATCTGGATCAGGTGGAATCAGTTAGGAAAAGTGTTTTGGACTGATTCCTTTGGATTGTTGATTTCTAGGATTTCAGTGACTGGTTGATGGTAGAGCTGGTTCCCCCTGTCTCTAGTTTCTGGTTCACATATTCCCTTAGCCACCCTTGTTGATCTGAGAACAGGGGCTGTCATTCAGATCTCTTGTGTGCATTCAAGGTCTGTTGTCATATGTGCTTTCCAGCCTTATTTTTTAATCATTCCCCTCAGCCTTCAAGAGCTGTCATTAGACCTATGCTATATTTTTTTCCCTCCTTTGTTCCCAAACTCTCATTGCCCTAGTCTTGGAATGTT